CCTTTTTTTCCTGCAGTTGAAGTATTTAAACTGTTCAAATTATTGTCAATCATTATTACGGCTGTTAAAGGTACCTAACTTAGGAGTAGTTATGTAAATTTATACATACGTCCGACGTCGATGAAGAGAGAATAGAGAATCAATATTAAAATAATTTAATATGATTTTCTTAATTTAACATCTATATCATCAATTGATGATATAATTTCTGTCAAATTTTTACTTTTTTCTGATTTTAATGAAACATTCTCATAAATACTTAAATTTTTACTAATTCCTTCTTTGAATCGATTTAATAAATGAAAATATTTTTGTTTATTTTCATGTTGTTCAATTAAATTATCGATTAATTCTAAAGCTGATTTATGAATTTCTTCAATTTCTTTATGATATTCTTCGATTGATTCACAAAATAATTTTTTGAAATAATTTAATGTATCTGTTAAATCAATATTATAATCAAAATCAACATTGATCTTAATTATCAGTTTTTAAATAAAAAATAATTTTTTCATTCAAAATTTTCATACTTTTACATATTATCATTGATTGAAGAAAACTTTCGATATTCTTATTTTCAATTGTATCTGTGAGAATATTTTTACTTATTTCATCATCGAGAAATTTTGAATAAATTCTTTTCAAATCTTTTTTTAACATCATAAGTTGTTAATAAAATAGTTAAAAACATGAAATGATTGACATGTTTTATCGTTGTATAAGAATTCGAATCTTTCATCAAAATTATTGGTATTTCATTATTTTTAAGAGTAAATTCATTCGAATTCACTGTTTCATTAATATGAAAACATTTGAAATTTGTTCCAAATTTCGCATTAAAAGATTTCATAAATTCTCTTTCGTTGATTGGTTGATGTTGAAAATTATGATATTTTTGTGTTAAATTATCCTTGTGATTTTTTAAATATTCTTCAATATCATCTTCTTCAATTAAATGATAAAATAAACAATATATTCAATAATGCATTTGCTGATGTTTCTTTGAATAGATCAAATCCAAGTGTCAAATATAAAATTGATTCGAAATGAAATTTTCTTATTAAATTAAATATTTGCAATAGATTCATTTGATTTTTAGTCAAAAATATTAATTTATTTGTTTGAATATTTCCAATTTTAATAAATTTATTTTAAACTTTTCCATTTTTTTAAAAATTTTCTTATTATTCTTTTCATTATATTTTTGACTTGCCAAATTAATATAATGAATTGCCATTTGTAAATCACCTTTTAATTTATATAAATATGATAATCGATAATAAATCATTGGATTATGATCAATATTTATTTGTTGATGAGTTAAAATCGTTAAAAATTCTAATTCTTCTAAATAAAAATAATGATTTTTTCGATAAATATTCGCTCGTAGAAGTATCAATTGAAGAATTTTTCTATTAATTTCTTTGAATCGAGATTTGAGAAGATTTAAAAATGTTTGAAATTCTTTAATTGATTTTGTTATTTTACAAATCGATTGAAAATTATTCGAATTTATTTGACATTTAATCAAATTAAATCTTGTTTTCG